TTCACTTGACGTCATTTCCTGTCTATTGCTGGGTTTCACTTGACGTCATTTCCTGTCTATTGCTGGGTTTCACTTGACGTCATTTCCTGTCTATTAATGGGTTTCACTTGACGTCATTTCTTGTCTCGTGCGGAATGTTCATCAAGATCCGGTTGTTCCAAGCCTGGATAGCACTATCCGACGGATAAATCTTATCCAGTGGATAAATCTATTGGATAACAGCATCGACTTATCCACTGGATAAGGATTTATCCGCCGTATAGCACTATCCAGGCTTCGCGTACAACCGGGCTTTCGTGAATTGAATCGCAAGGTTTCAATAGGATTCTTTCCTGCTGACAGCACATGGTGGTCAGTGTTTGACCACCATCTGGGGCACATAATGAGATTAAACCACTTTTATCAGCTGAATGAAACCCACCGAATACATTTGGGTCAGTTTCTATACATTTCATCGTATTGACCCAAATGTCGAAACAACTTCAAAGGCAATAGAGTATGACTCTAATATTTGCTATTTACAATTATACAGATCGTTACCATGGTAACAATGGTTACCAAGGTTACTTACATGGGTGCTGGTCCTTTAACTTCTTCTTGTCTGCCAGGGAAGTATGACGGGAGAGCTGGTGAAGCATCTGTTTTGGTCCTTAACTGAGCCAGGTTACCATACACAGCACTTGTGGGCTGATAACAAAGTAACACAACTACAGTCAGACTTCTTACTCTATAGAACCCTTGCAGCACGTCAGAATGCAGCTCAATTTGGAGGACATAACAATAGGTTTCCAATTCTCAGGAGATTGAAATTCTTTTGTTTTGTTCTCCAAATTGAGCTGCTTTGACGTCACAAGCTTAACAAATTATCTAGAATATCTCAGTTTTATAACTCTGATTTTAGAAAGATTATAGAAAGAGTCCGTTTTCAAATGCTGCTGTGTTCCTTGATATGCGCCTTTGTTATCCCATAGAGCGGATGCAGTAAAACCAGGAAACAAGACCAAAATAGGCCTGAAGCGAGATGACGTTTTACCCCCGACTCTATACCATAATAGTTTTTTAAAATCTTTCATATTAAAATTTTTGATTCCTTAGACAATACAGGAACAATAGTCATAATTAAAGAACAAATGCAGTGTGAAAAGTATCATGGTCTAGAGACGGGGGTAAAACGTCATCTCACTTCAGACCGGCTTATTGATGCTGACAAATAGTAGCTATTTAGTGACTTATAGTTGTTATCACTCAACCAGAACATTCATTGTACAAAGACAAATACACAAGAGACCATTATAGAATATAACATACGGTCTCTACTTACTCCCTCAGAGTGCCTTATCCTTGTCATTTCGGTGCTGATGTAGTGTTGAATGGCCTTGTAAATAAACTCATACTGAGCCTACGAACCAAACAAACAAAAACAGTTGTATAAATGTGAGCAAGTACGCACACAAAATAGAACAGCTCTTGTGTAATAATAAAACATCGCGTAGAGGTATGAAAATTACGATCGCAAATTTTATGATTTGCCAATTTACAGCCATTTAAAAAACGCTGTCTGAGCTAAAGGGGATGAAAGATATGAGAGATGAGGCGGTAAGCCGTGTGGGATGGGCTCGGAAGTCATACGAGAACATGCGTAATAGGTAAATTACGAGCCTTGCATGAAACGACTGAAGATGAGTGTCAATGGGCCTTTCACAACTTCAAGTCGAATAAAAAATGAGGCAGCTCAACTAGAAACCGTGGACAGCTGTTGTTATTGGGCCTCGTCAGCAAGACGCATTTTTACAAGTTTTTTTAACTTCCATAGGAGCAAGAAGAAATAGACTATTTACTGATACGCGGCAACCATCTTGATTCCTATCGCCTCGATTAAGACATTATGGTATATGCCGAGGGGGCAGTGTCTCTCTATATAACTTTACGCTTTTCAAAGAGAAGTACATAAAAAAGTTTTTGAATTTGCTAGTAGTTGTAACAATATGCAAAACACCAAGAATTCAAATTATTTGAAAACATAACCCCGCCTCTCTATCCTTTATAAACTTTCTACGCGTTTGCCCCCTCGTCATCCCATAATTCAAGATGGCCGCCGTATGAGTAAAATGGTCTATTGACTGACGTGAAATACAGTTACTTTACTTTAACTTGATATCTTATTAATTTTTATCATATATTTATCCATAAAATACCTATATTTCTCCTTTTCGAAAAACTGATATTTTCACATGTGAAAATAGCATGTTATTTTCACATGTGAAAATATCGTTACCATGTGTATTTAAGCTATTAGTTTATAAATAAAAACTTTTTATAATAATAAAAAGCTTATTATAAGTCGATTTTATGGATAATTATATAATAAACAGAATATTACATGGGCTTTTGGAGATACGAAATTTATCTTCTCGTGTTGAAAATCTTTGAAGATCTCTCCAACACTCGAAGATAAATTCCGTATCTCCGCGCGCCCATGTAATATCCTCTATATCTGCAATAACTCTAGAATTTAGATTAAGTGAATCATATTTTACCTCTGTCTGAACCATACCAGATCTTTGAGCGCGGACATTTTGTATGGCTTTTGAAATATCAATTTCAGTATCAAGACCTGTCGAAGAATCAACCAAAATAAGGAGTTAGAGGCAATAATCAAGATTAGAAGTGAAGAAAAACGGTGCCTACGGTTTCTTGCTCGAGAAGATAAGACAGCGTATACACAGGAAAAAATCCGGATTCCCAAATTGGGGATTTCTTTGAATTCCCAACGAATTTCCATCCAATTCCCAGAGAGAACGAAATTGGGAACGTGGCACTGATTCCCAATGTTAGTTTGTGGGGAATTTTGTTTTTCTATTGGGTATTAGAAGGAAATTCCCAACAATAAATCCCAACGTTGGTGTTCGAACTGGGAATTCAAGGAAATTCCCAACAATTCCCTATTTGGGAATCCAGTTTTTTTTCCCTGTGCGCGTTCAATTGGTCAAACGTTGAACTTTATAAGAGTCGAACCTAATGACATAAAAGAAGACCACCTTATAACCCATTGTTTTCATGGAGTACGGCTTATGTAAAGCTTGACGTTTGACCTTAGTCTAACCATTTGCAGATGTAATAACAGAGGCAGTACCTTCTCAGTTATTTGAAGACCCTGAGTGTTGGTCTGGCTGGGGATTAACACCTAGCATCTGGCCCCGAACGACAGTCCGATGCTCAACCGAGCCAAAAGGGTGTTGCCAATGACAGCCAAATAACTGATGCTTAGTAAATAAAAAGCCCGGGGGGGGGGGGGGGGGGTACTCTTACCCGTTTAGGGTAGGGATGTGCCGCTGAGCCCTCTGAACCCTGACCCTGTTCAAGAGTAAAAATCGCTGAAATTCAGAGCAAGATCGCTGAAAACCCTGTTTCAGAGAGGAGAGAGCGTGATTTCATATACCCTGTTCCAGAGCGAGCGCGATTTTATATACCCTGTAGAATCGCTGAATGAACCATACCCTAATTGGCGGTACGTACCCGTATAGCGAATATAGGGGAGTCCCCCCCCCCCCCCCCCGGGATAGAAAGTGAAGATCATTGACTTACCTTGTTCTTTGATTAGATGAATAAGGCTGTCAATCACAATGAATGTTCCTGTTCGGCCAATGCCAGCACTAGAGACGACAAGAGAAGCAGGTCATATTATGTAGGGAAACGACAATGTAGGGAAACGACAATGTAGGGAAACGACGAAAACGTGGTCACGTTTGCCGTTTGCGGGAAGGAAAAACGGGAATCTTAATCTGTCTACTATTTTTTTTGTTCCGTCAAACGCCTAGCTCTTAGGCCAGTCCTCCGGCGATCTTGACCAGTTACATTGACTGGTTACATGTTGACCAGTGAAATGTGGGCTGTCATCAAACCTGGCCATTGAGAAGTCGCCATTTCAAGCTATTGAAACAGATGCTTTCTCTAGTCACTTAAAGGTCCATATTAATGAGCTTTATCCATTGCTGGCTTTCACTCAGCTGATAAAAGTTTTTGAATTTCATTATCTGCTCCGGATGGTGGTGAAACACTGACCACCATGTGCTATCAGCCAGAAAAGAATTCTATAGGTGAGCGTACTGTTTACATTTCCAAAAATCAACTTTAGAGCCATAAACGATTGGACTTAAGAAACATAAAGAAGTCATAACTGTTGATAATATTTATCAATTTGAGAGCAGTTGCTTCATTAGTTCAGGAGATATAATAAATTAAAGTTGCTACATTTTGCAGTAAATGTATGTTGGTTGGAAACATCTTGCCAACCAACATACATTTACTGTCAAATTTCACAACGTTAACTTGAAAACCATCAAGAGATTTGTCCTCAAATTCTCAGATAACTTCCAAAGCGATAGGATCTTGCCACTTTTGACGTTTGTTYGTTTATTGCTTGAATATCCAAGAATTTCATGTTCTTGATCAAAACAAATTACGTCATCGTACGCCCACCTATTGAAAACTTGCGATTCAGCTGATGTACATTCCGCACGAGACGAAATTACGTCACTATTGCAACCCAGCAATTACTGTGGTTTTTCATGTTCTGCAAGCTCTCATACATTTCAACGGCTTGCTGGGAATTTGTTTTTTTACTGTCCCCAGTCAAGAACATAAAAGGGACCGACTAATTATTTTTTATTAACGGCAGCAAAAAAACAAAAAACAAAAAAACAAAAACAAAAACAAAAACAAAAACAAAAAACAACAAAAAACAAAAAAACAAAAACAAAACAAAACAACAACAAAATAATAATAATAATAATAATAATAATAATAATAATAATAATAAAGAGAAAAAACGAATTGCAGCATGTACCTTGTAAATACCGAGTTCTCAGAGTATCGAAAATCGCAGTAACTCAAGATTATTCCTAACCTGCAATGTACGACGATTGGCCCGGCGCCGTGAATGGATTTCTGCTTGACGTCCACCTCATGAAGGATACTTAGTACTGGACTAGGGTCCTTGGGTACACCGTGATCTGGCCAGCCAGTGTAGTGGAAATGATGGATGGTTCTTGGGATAAACTGAAATAAAAAATGGGATTCTATTAACGTTGCAAGTCTATTGAACCCTTGAAACAACCTCTGGGCTGATCAAAGTCAGGGCACGGCTAGCTCACAGATAGAACCCTGAAACAACCTCTGGGCTGATCTAAGTCAGGGCACGCCTAAAGTCATAGATTGAACCCTG